CTCACGAACAAAATAAATTCAAAATGTAACATTAGCCATGGTCCCCTAGTATGATCCTTAATCAACCTTAGATTTAGCCATAAAAGTTTTCTATGTTCCACTATATACAATCTATGAATAAAGGTAATGTAACATTTAAAGAAGAAGAGTTTGTCTATAGATCTTTAAACATTTATGTTGTTTGGTTTTGGTTTCATAGCATCCTACTAGATCCAACTTAGGACCAAATAGTCATAGCATCCTATAAGTTTTGGACTGAATGTCAGTCCTAGTTCATTGTACGAAATTTATACAATTAATAAAAAAATTATATAATTTTTATTCAAGTTTGTTCTCCGAAGTTACTTTCAATTAGATGTAGCAATAATAGTTTGTCGTATATAAATCAATGGTATTTTTCTTTTGTTTTCTTCCTTTTTTCAGATTCATATTAGTTGTCGTCGCGGTCATGACTTTTCCCGGAACATGTTCATTATAAAATAATAACACAAACTTATGTTGATGTTCCAAGAGCAAATTAAGTGCCTGTTTGGAATGATTTAAAAGTTGGTCAAATCTAATAAGTTTCTTCATTATTAGTACGAGCATCTATTTTTTAGCATTAACAAATCTATACGTACATTGGTACATGCATGCAACAACATTATGTCATGAACTCCAAGTTAAGCTAGCTCTATTCTATTTAATTGTGTTCGACTGATTTTATTGATTATTCACCTACCAAGAAAGATGCTTAATATATAGAAAATATATATTTTATGTGTAATTAAACTATATTTAGTTTATTGAGTGTATCATAATTTATAATCAGTATGTAGCTCATGTATAGGTAAGATATATTATATAAATAATGTATATTTTTTATGACTTTTGACAAGGTATATTATATAGTCAGTGTATATTTTCTATGACTTTTGATTTATTTTGTTATGTAAGTAAAAACATGACTATATTTATTGTAAACTAATTGTTTTATAAAAAAGTTTCAGAAATAGAAAACATAATAGACATTATAAGGCTCTATAACTATAGTTTCGATAATTGCGATTCATAGTTATAGTTATGTTTGTTACGAAGGCTGTGGTTTGTGTATTTCTGCTCGTTTGTATATTTCGCTTTCAAATATACAATTAGGGTAAATATGTACAAATTATGTATTTATACATTTAGGAATTTTTCAGAATTCCATTTGTATATTTCTCTTGCCAGTATACAAATAAGGTAATTTATTATAATTTTTTCATAAATCGTATACAAATAGCTAGGGCAAGAATATACAAAATTTTGGATTCATAACCAAATCATACAAATTCTAGATTTATAGAGAACAAGTGAATTATACAAATTAGGCGAATAGCAAAAATTGGAAAACTGTAGCCGCAGATTACAAATTTCTTAAATAGAGTTAAACTATAGCTATAGTACCAAATATATGTAAAATATTTGCTTCTACATAATTTTCTATTCTTTTATGGTATATATTTGAAACTATCCTCTTTTCTTGGAAATTACTTATGCCTCTTTCTTAAAGGGCCTTTTAAGACAAGTTATTATTGGACTCTTCTTATGTTCTTTTTTTCACTGGGCTCAGAATTGTCATCTTTGTTGGATAAGATATACAGATGGATGGCCCAAAGCCTATTTTTTTTTTTTTCATGACACTGTGGTTAGAGATGAGCTCTTTATCCTATGAACCAATCTTGAGTTAATGAATTTGGCCCCAAACTTTTTAGGCATAATACATAAACATGACCTTAAATTTGAATTCAACGGATAACCATGTCTTCCAACTTTGACACTCTGTTTGGATCGTTGTTATCCATTGTTTCATAATGTATTGTATTGTATTGTACTATATTGTATGGTAGATACAATGTTTGGCTACACTGTATTGTTTGTTGTTGTTTAATCACACTTTTATTGTTTGGTTTGACTGTATCGTATTGTATTGTAATTTATAAATTTACTAAAATATCCTTAATTATTCTAAGGTAGGAGGTTTGACTAGAATTAAATAATATAAGGTAAAGGGTAAAATAGTATTATGAAATATTATGTAAAGATATAATGGAAAAAGAAATTAAGTAACAATGAAAACACACCAAATTGGTTGTTCTATAAAATGGGGGTTTTCATTGTTACGTAATAATGGAATTTAATAATACAATACAATACATTTTAAGTAACAATCAAAACAAACATTGTAGGTGTAGTAACGATACAATACAATGGGCAACAATGATCCAAACAGAATGTGAGTGTGCATAAATAGACACTTAAATTGTATAAAACTAAACAAGTAGACACACGTGTCCTACATGACATAATACACGTAGGACACCATGTAAGACACAAAATTGACATGTAGGACGAATATGTCCATTTTTTTTTGTCAATTTGTGTCTTTGAAAGTACTCAAATTAACTGTGTAAATCATCTCTACGTTCCATAATCGCAGGGGAATTTATGTTTTCTTTTATGCAAAAGGTGCAAGTTGACATATTGAAGACAAATGTGAAGACCAGTACTTAGGATGTAGATATAACATGTAAAGATATTTTGGAACATATCTTCTTATTTAGATCAAGTTATGTTTGTTAGATATATAATGCCTTTGACATTGGTAAATTAGTTTTATATTTTTATGGACTATGGTACACGGAATCTCGTGGAGATAATATTTTCGAGTTGGATGTGAATAACGTAAATAAGGTGAATTTTAATAACTCAGTTGATTGATTATTTGAACTTTCATCCTGTTGGTGAATGTTTAGTTCCTCACTTATAATTCCCTTTCCTGAAAAAAAGATGTGTGTTTTTTGGGGGCAGGTTGTGTCTACAATGAATTGATATAATTAGGGAGGAAAGTATTTTTATTTTTTTATTTTTGATTAGTTAATTTTTTTTTCATTTAGAAAAAATAAGTTTTTTTTTTAGAATTGGGAAATATAATTATCCTAGTAAAAGTAAGGAGAACTAATTTCATAAGTGACATTCTACGTTGCTTATAATTTATATCATTTCCACCCTTCAACTGTACACCTCATCTTCACCTCACCCTGTAGACCCCATTCACTCCACCCCACACATGTATCTCCCAACCCACCTCATGTAGTATTTATCTTGATTATATATAAATGTCTTTAGAATAGTATTTTTTTGTTAACGTATAGAACACAAAAAATAATAATAAGAAACCTACTTACTTTTTTTTGTAAAAATATTTTTAAGAATTTTTTTTTTCATGAAAAACATTTCCTTCGTATCGAATAGGGACGAATCTAGAAAAGGGCGAGAGTGTTTAGCATACTCTCCTCGGCAAAAAACTACATTGAATCCCTTAAACACGAGTTAACTCAATACTTTAGGGGTTTCAATATCACCTTGGGGTTCCAAGTTTAAGTGTTAGACACTATATTTTCATTTTTCAAATTTCTTTAATGAAAATATTAGATCCGTCACTGATACCGAACACACCCTTAGCTAGTATCACCTTTCTATTTATGTGATGAATTTAAACATGATGACTCTAATTTGTCAGCATCATTCATAAATTTTGTAGGAGCACCTGTCCAATTTCTTTGGGGCCCAAATTATTTTGGTTAGGTAGATTTTAATTGTAAGAAAAAATTGAGATAAAAATCTAATAAATGAATGTGCTTCTACTGAATGCCATAGTTTTGAGGGAAATTGAATTTCATTTTCACTACAAAAAACGTACCTAGCTATCACGTGATGATAATCACTATTCACTAATTATCTCATTTATAATTTGTGGCTCCACTCTTTTTAATTTGTTTCTGGAAAATTCTTTTCACACTGCTTCTAATTTAACAAGCAAATATATCAAAATAGAATCTAGTGTGTGTTCATATTGATATTGCATCTCAAATTAAAGCACTAACAATTTAATTTTATATTTTGGTTATCCGATCCATAGCTATCGAATTATATATCCATGTGTGATATTTATATTTCGCGAAATATATACTAGGAGAAGCTCGAATCAATTATTTTCGATTAGAAATAGGAGGTCCCTCGTGTTTTTCTTATTTTTGACATAATTATTTGATATTCAGAATTACTCGCTTGACTGTTATAATATATATGTATACCATAATACAACAAGTGGCAATTCAAAAAAGACAAACTCCCAATTGTAACGTGGAGATTGCCATAATTTACGTACCTAAAGGAATAAAAAAAGAGCAAATGTTCTACAAATTATATAAGCATATTTTAATATTTACGTTTTTCCTAATTTTCTTCAAAAACATGCAATAATTAATAAAGTACAAATTTTCATATATGAAGATTACTATGTCAACGCCCCAAGTTATTTACTTTTGGAAGTAGTTAATTAAAGTTGGTCCGGAGTTAACAAAGTTTCTATATATAATAATAGCTTTCTTAATAGTGTAATACTAATATGATTTACTACTACATTTCTTTATATTATAGTATTGTATAATTTTTGTATCAAAATGATTAAAATTTTAGCTAACTTGAATTATAGTATTGTTATAGTTATCCAATGTTGGATAAATAGAGTGGTACCGGCACATTTTTATCATTTATCTTTTGAAAATAGGGAGATTATTTCTAAAAATAATTAATTATGCTAATTATTGAAATAATTTGATCTACTTGCTAAATGAATTTATCTGAGATTAATTAATCAAGTTAAATTGAACAATTTTCTGCTTCCCACAGACAAGAATATAAACAAATTCATTTTCATTCCATCCTTACAAAAATTTGTTGAAAAAGAAAGGCGAAAGTTGACTTGTTTGGAATTTGAGATCTTCTTGCACAATTTTTATTTTTTTCCGCCCAATATTCGATATTTATTTTGGACGGATCAATTTGATAAAAATAAAAAAATAAATCCAATTTGAAGTACAGTTTCAACTCAAATTTTCTGAATATCAACTCCAACATAAACAGTTTTACAATACTGATTCTAATAATTACGAATAATTCTATTCAATTTCCAATTTCAATAGTACAAAAGATAAAACAAAAGGGAGAAAATATATACTCCAAAGTTCCAAAAATATGAATCACTAATATTCACAATTCATTCATTCATATATACTACAACATAGTTACAAATCTCAGAATAAAAATGCCGTCGGAGCAAACGCCGGCACAGCCATCGGACCTGCCGATTTCCTGCAAAAAAATACATAAAACCAGAAAAAATTAGCTCATAAAATTCCACAATTTTTCTTCTTCTAGAGAGAGAATTTTTTTCCGATGTGATTGATTACATACCAGTAATCGTCGCCGTGTCTAGATGATAATTTAGATCTAGCAATTGATTTAGCTTTAACCTTAGCAGCAGATTTGGCGCAGGAAGACGGAGGAACAACAGCACGTTCTTTTCTTCCTCTTCCGTTACCGTCAACAACAATATCAGACATCACTCTTTCTTCTGCTATTACTCGAAGCGCCGGTTTCCAATTCGCTCCATTTCTGGATTTTACTATCCTTCTCTCCCTTCCGCTGCGTATAGCGGAAGGAGTTGTAACTTCGCCGCTATTCCTCTCCTCGTCAGGAATAGCGGCGTTGATCGCTGTTGGGGTGATGGTTGCACCACCCCAACATAAAGCAAATTCAGGTAGAAATTTCATATTTGGTGTTCTGTACGTACAATAAACGAGAGTTTTATGATTTCTTACAAAGAGCTTATTAACGTGCCAGTGACTTTAAACACTGCGTTGTTCACGTATTTATAGTGTGTAAGTGAGAGAAATGTGATGTGACTGACTATGTGAAAGTAACGGCGGTGTAATATGTGTGTGGCGTTGGTGGGTACCGTGGTTTTGTATGCTGCAGTTTGAGTGGGCAGTTAGGCCTCCTATTAAATAGATGTACACGTAGTTTTATACGATGTCCGGTATCGTTATTGGAGTTTGTAGTATTGTTCAAAGACTTTTTTAGAAAAAAACGTTATTTGTTTAGAATTTTTTTTTATATTCAGATTCGAACTTGAGATCTTTAGTTAAAGAATGAATAACTCTATCTATTACATTTGAGACACTTGATTAAGGAATGAATGACTTCATTTACTACACCACATCTTCTAATGGTAGTTATGAATGCTATTTATTCGTAAGAGATAAAAATTCTACTCCATTTATCTCATTTTATGTGACATATTTTTCTTTTTTAGTCTGTTCTAAAAAAAGTCACTTAACTATAATTAGAAATAATTTTACTTTAAAATTTTCCTTTTGCTCTTAATGAAATGATTTATAATCATACAAATATTGAAGGATTGTTTTATTCCACAAATTTCAAAAGTCTTTATTTTTTTCTTAAATATCGTCAAATCAAAAGATGCCACATAAAATAAGACGGATGAAGTATTAAATTAATAGATGCATGCCATGTGCATACATAGAAATCACTTAATTGTGATTAATTAATTAATTTTATTAATTTGTTTTTACACATCAATTTTGAGGTTTAACACTCTATATAAATAAATATTTATCCTTATTTTACACTACTTTTTCTTTAATTTGCTCCCTAAGTTCCTTTTTATTTATATAAGGAAAAATAATTCTTTTGCTTGTCTTAGTTAATAAATTAAAAGAAATTAATGAAGTATATTTTTGTAAATTAGGTAATCATTTTTAAAATTTGTTGAAACCAATTATCATTAAAAAGGATAATTCAATAAAATAAGTATTTAATTAATGCTTTTTGAAGAAGAATGCAAAATACACACTGATTCAGCTTAATAACAAACTTTAAATAGACTTGTGCTGACTCTGCTTCTCTAGGTAACAAATAAGTAAGTACTAACTTTTCTACCATTATTTAAAATTACATTTTAAAACAAACAAGATTTAATCAAATACTTTTAACTTTCTAAATAAAATTTCAAAGTAAATATTTTAATTTATTGAAAAAAGCTTAAAGTATTCGAAAAGAAATAGACATAAGGGACCATCTTAATTACACCTTATCTTAGCTGCCAAATAGACTATTAAGTCAAGTTGTTATGAAAGTCAATAAGCTTAATAACAAACTTTTAAAAGATTAACGTTTAGAGAAACAATAATATAATAATAAAAAGAATTTCAAGATGAAGTCAATACGTAGGTAACGTGCTGCAACCTTAACATGCATTTTTTTTAAATTTGGTGTTCTATGTATATATTTAAATCTAATTAAATTAAGATTTACATAAATCGGAGATTGGAGAGACACTCTTAACATATACATTTTTTATTTCAATATCATAAATTCGAATTCAAAACATAAATAAGAATAATTTTTTTATTTTTTCCACCACAACTTAGGTTGGTTAATATTCATTCTTATCTTATCTATTATCTTACTTAAGTTGTAATTGGGCAATTGACTATATTATTTAATTCCAGTTGTGGATATTAAGGCTCCAACTAACCACTAGATGAGTATCATACATCTAACAGTTCAATCAAACTCCAGAGATAAATTTTAATAGATTGTGGTGCTTTTTTTTTTTTTTTTAATCTCTTAATGATAAATCTTAATTTTGTGATACATAATTTAATCAATATATTAAATTATGTATATTTAATCCCTTTAAGTAAAAGATACATTATATTTAAACTATTTTTTAGAGATATATTACCATCAAATATATGCAGTAACAATACAAACTTAATATAAGATTATGTAATTATATAGTAGAATGATTAATTATCATGAAAATTTATAATATTCACAAGTAAAGAAATTATGTAATTATATAGTAGAATGATTAATTATCATGAAAATTTATAATATTCACAAGTAAAGAAATCAAAGTGCATATTATAAATCATTGAATGTTAAATATACATAATCAAATATCATAAAAATTTTAAAAATTAAAATTTATCAATAATAAAAGTACTAAAAAATACTAATATTAGCCATAGATTTAATTATCAATTATGTCTACACTCTAAAGTCATCAACGTGTAGGTAGTGGAGCTATTTTTAATTAAAGCACTATATAATTATAATGATGATTTATCATCTAACTTTGTTGAATCGTGGTAGAGTGTACAAACTTGTTTATTTAATTCTGCTACTTGCATTTTAACAATTAATAATTCTAAAATGTTTAGTGGACAGAAAAAAAAATATGAAAGCAAGTGGTGCAGCATATTGTTACAATAAATAGTGGCCGATAATCGTGGAATTTTTAGTTCTTCTCGAAAATTCAGATTATAAGGATTACCTAACTTATATTTGACGCGAAAATAATTTGAATATTTATGGATTTCTACCACAATATCATAAAATAACATATTCAATGTAGCTTTATAAGATGATCAGTTTGAAAAAGACGGTATATGTATCATGTGAGAAATTCCAAAGCTTGTCCATATTTGCCCACAAGTCGGGATCTGCATACACACTATTTGTTCCGGAGGTAAAATATGCATACATATTATTCTTTAATTTTCAAATTCTAATGTGTGGAAGACATTGATATGTTTTGTTGCATTTTAAATATGTCATGTTTAAAAGATCTCATGTGTTTATTAGCCAGACTCAAACCCGCGAATCCACACTCAAATAGCAATAGTGTAAACATGTTTTACCACTAAACCACGCCTTTGGCTAATGCCGAGGAAGTTCAATATTAAATATGTAGATATAAATTGAAAAATTAATTCTATATAAATAATATAATTTTTTGAGAAAAGGGGATCGATCAAACCCCTAAACTCCACATTGCTACGCCTCTGTTCCCACATACATCACCACTTAATAGAAGTGGACCGAAATGCCACAATCCAGAAGGAAATTCCAATTTCACTTAGACCACATATATTATTATATAAAAATTATTAAAGTAGCTACTTCTATTGCCTATAGCAGTAAGCAGAAAAAGAAAACACAGTTTCGTACTTTAATATTTCAATCTCTAGAGATTTCTTTTTGAAATAATATAGTCGATCTTAAATTTCTTTGACTTCTTTGTTTGTTTACTTCTTGATATTTTAAATCTTTTTAGTGAAAATTCTGATTCCGCCATTGAATTTGCGAGTATCAATCATCACCACCAATCCATGTTTTCTCTCTTATGAAAATGTTATTGATGAATGATCACTTGCAGAGGCAGACCCACACTATGGAGAAGGGGTGCACGTGCACCCGCTAACTTTCGAAAAAATTATATGTATATATGTATAACTATTTTGAAAAACTGATAGAAATTAAAATATAGTTATCAGTGCACCCATGAGATGCATAGAAGTGCCCTTGTGCTATTGGTACAAACTAGAAATATCACCCTTGAGACCAGGGTCCTGGGTTCGCCTCTGATCACTTGTATAGTATTTTCAAGATTTTTCTCAAACCCCACTATGTAATTGGCATAGTTATTGGGTATGCTACTTATACTTATTGCAGTTGTTGCTTTCAGAATGGGAATTAGTTACATTCATTATTTTTTAGGCAATTCTTGGTAGTATCATAACATTCAATGTCATTGGCCCTCCCACCTTCCACCTCCATTTTTTTTTTCTAATTTGCTTATTATCAATAGTTTCCACTTATTGAGTTTAGTGGTGTATATATATTATATTTATTGTTGTTGAAATGTATTTTATCTTATTTAAAAGTTTAAGTTATTAGAAAATATATTTTTATTTGTTTAATTATGTCTTCAACACTATCTTACACGTGATGATTTAAATACGTGGAAATCTTTTTTTTTTTTTTTTGATAATGAGTAGCGGGGAGACTCAAACTTTCGGAACTATGATATGTCTGGTGTGATTGTGTTATAAAAAAAGGACAATGGGCTTAACTCAAATACAAAAATTATTCTTGATGTGAAGTTGTCCAAGATCATATAAGAAAACCAAACAACCATGCGCACAAGAGATATGGAGCGTTCCGAGCATGCCAAGATTCCCCGATTCTATTTTCCGTGTTATACATTTAGATTAGACATCTAGAATGTGAACAATATACGACATCAATATCAAGCAAACAAAAACTTGAGAGGAGAGCCCAAAAGTTCATGTTTTCCTGATTGGGTTGGAGACCAGTTTTAATGGGCCTCAATAATACCAACCTCATTGTCCAAACAGGCCTTGGATCCAGTATCCACATACTTAAATTTGGGCTTGACTGGAGAAGTGCAAATCTGTCTTTTGACACCCCTATTTAACTTGTGGCCGTTTTTGTTATTCTAACAACTTCAGATATACGGTGTTTTGAAATTAGTTTGATCAAGTTTAACGTTAGATATAATATTTGAAGTTTCATATTGTTGAAGTTTAATTATTTATATTATTGAAGTTTAATTATTTTTATCTTATGGCTGAAGTTTTGTCATTTTTGCTTCACTTTAGCTATACTATTATTTGAATTTTAGTAATAGATGACTGAAATTTCAGTCAATCTTTTTTGTCTTATTTCGGACTCATTTGGTTGAAATTTAGTCATTTTTGTATGAATTTCAGTCAGATTTGGCTGAAGCTAAGGTTAATTAGTTGTAATTGACTTAAGTTATTTTTGCTCAAACTCCAGTAACATATGACTAAAGTTCAGTCAATTTTGCCTTACTTCAGTCATTTATGATCGAAATTCATGCACATGGCTAGAGTTCAAGCAAAGATGACTAAAGTCCAATTGTTTTTGCATGAACTGTACTCATATATAACTTTAGACACCACATCCGAAATATATAAAGTTGATGAAAATGTCAAGGCTCGAAGATCTCTGGAACATGGAACAATACTTTAAAAATATTTCAATCTATAAAATGAGGAAGAATTAAAGTAAAAAAAGACAATGATATACTAAAAACTATTTGGATTAATAATGTGGTCCCAATAATTAATCCAGTATGTGTTAGATCCTCTTCAATAACATCATCTTGTTAGCAATATTAATTTCTTCAATTCCTTTGTCAACAAAATAGATAATGAGAAACGTAAGATGATAACTATCCAATTTTCGTAGTAGAGTTTGACTAATCTAAATTTAATTTTTAATTAAATCAGAAGCATTTCATCCTTATCGACCGTATACGTACACCACATTCTTTGGTGGTATAAGGTAATAAGTACAATGCTTGTCTTTTTGTGGGATTAAGAATAAGTGAAAAATGCATGAATCATCACTTAAAAAAAGATCGATCAAGTTGTTGCATACGGTGCACAACTTCTATCAGTGTTCTATCAAATCTCCGAACAATGCGCTGATGATTCCAAATTTCCAATTACATAAAAATACAAAAAAAAACAAGACAAATATATTATGACTTTCGTACACTCATATAATTTACTAATTTCAAAATGATTTTAAAAAAATGAAAATAGGGAAAATAAGTTCACAAGTAGCATAGCACCTAATTAATTACTCTGTTCCTATTTACTTGTAGAATATTTTCTAATTTGATTTAGTTTTTTACTTGACAGTTTTTGAGAAATCAAGGAAGAACATTTTTTCCCTATTATATCCTTAAACTATTAATATTGAGTTAATGTCTTTGAAAAATACTGAGTAAATATATTTGAGACTCTATCAATTAATAGAGGTAAAATGATTAACTCACTATATTCGTCATTGTTTTCTTAATAGGTGTGTCAAGTCAAAATTTAACAAATAAAAAGGGACGGTGGGAATATGTTCCCAACCTCCAATACACCTCATCTTCACCTTCACCTCCGTATAACCCTCACCTACACTACCCTACACTCCTACCCCACTCCATGTGACATAGTATTTATCTAAATTAAATATAAAGATTTTTAAGATTACATTTATTTAATTATGTACAAACAAAAATAATAAGTAAGAAATCTAGTTATTTTCTTCGAAAACATATTTCATGAAAACAACTATCACTCAAAGGAAAATAATGCAAAAACTTTCAGATAGATCACTGACTTGTACACTACTAACTTCCACTGGCGCACAAGAGTCCTATATGTACTATTAATTGTAAGTTAGTAGGTGAAAGGACACAACATTGCTCAAGTGAAATGTTGATAATTTTCAATTTCATTGGGAGATTGCTTTATGCCTTTATCTAAGGAGTTCAAATAGCATGAAGACAAATATCTATGTTATAACTTCACATAACTTTTCGTCTCTTTAATGCCCGGAAGTTCTCTAAACATATGAAAAATTGGAGGACTTTGTACCATCCATTTCGATATGGTTGGATTCTATTCAACAGGCCAAAGAATTGCGCGAATTTCCTGAGAAACGAAGTCATAGGCACGTAGGTTTAGCGCTAGATCGACTACTCCAAGAGCACTCATCCATAAACCGGTTACTGGTATAAAGAAATGTAACCAACGTTTATTGGAAAAAGCAACCCCAAAAATTTGGGACCGAGCACAATTTTTGTTCTTTTAAGTACTTTAAGTGATTGTTGCTATCACAAAGAAATGACAACCTAGCTATGGATATATATTGAGTTCATTTTGCTTCTTGACATATTTATTTTTCTATATTTTGAATTTACTCAGTTTAAACCTCGGCTCTCTGCTAGCTAGGAATATAATTGAATTTGAAATGACCAACTTAGCTAGACATAAATACCTAGCACTAAATAACAAATTTGTCCTATTATTCACCAAGAAGCTAGATGCAACAAGATTTCCCCACTCTATATAAATCTTTCATTCACATCTGTGTATATACATCTACATTTTATTTTATTTTAATTTTCTTCTATAAAAAAATATCTTTCTAAGAAAACAACTATTAGTCGAGTTACCATCTCAGAAATCCAACTCCTTCGAAAACATTCTCTACCGTTACATTTTAAAGTGAAAAATTGTTTTGGCCTTATATGTGACAAGATGTTCATTTTGTCTTATATTGTGGCGTTAGTTGACACTATAAACCAAATTTGATGATCATGTCTGTGAAAGGATGGGAATGAATGGTGCCATCAATCACTAAACTCAAAACAGAAAACTGGATTAACACAACAAAAAATAATAATTAAAAGAGAAATGATATATTATATAGTATTTGTAATCCATCATTAGCTTAATTAGACAAACTAATTGCCGGCTAAGGCAGCTTTTTTAACCTTTTCTCCTTCTTAAGTACGTAGTCATCACTAATAATGCCAAAATTATTTGTCTTTCGAAGACTACGTACCAACAAGGGCGGAGCTAGTGCTTATGTTAAAAAAATACGATTTCAATCAAACTTAATATTTTAGTTTAAATTTTATATTTATCATAAATAATGTATTAATGTGTACATATTATTAATTTAAAAATCAATAATATTAAAAAAAAACAAATAATCTTAAATTCATAAATTTTAAATTTTAATTCCGCTTCTAGTATATAAAAAAAAAGGTGAGTTCTAGATGTGTTAAAAGTATTACCACAATATTTTACTCAAAAATATATTCAGTCTGTTAAAGCTAAGGTGGAACAATCATTATGAGAATATAATAAAATTGCATATAGTAGACCCCAATGCTAGATGCATGGTACTCAACATGGAGTGCGGCAACTTACTTGTCAATAATTTTTTATAGAGATTAAGAAGGAATAATATCATTCCATGAATAGAGTAGTGTGCAATGTTTTTTTTTTTTCAAGATACTCATTTTAAGGCTCGACTAATTTACATTCAGAAAGTCTTACTTTAAATTTTATTTTTTTTACAATGATTCTATTTTCAAAGTCGAATTGAAATCTCTAATTAAGAATAAATGAATAATAACAGCCACCAACTTTTGGCGGTTAGTAAAATGTGGTAATCAACTTACTTAATGAAGTTTTCTAAAGTAATACTATTCCACACACCAAAGAGTATTCAAATTTGAATTCCCTTCTAATAGAAAAAAGAAAGAAAAACAGGTTCATTACTTAAATGGAAAAAATCTGAATTAGATTTCAAGCTTATAGAGACTAGGTCCTAATTATTTTACATGCATGCACGTTAATTAATCTAATATTTTCGGGTGAATTTATAGAGTTCCAAATAGCTAGAGATCTTCAAATCAAACAAACAATTTATTTGAAACAAATATCATATAATCACCTTTAAATTTGTTTGCTAACAAAAGAGTAAGAAAGTAATTGGATAAAGAGAATGTTAAAACGTGTGACTATCTTATCTAAATGTATAAATTATTAAATAAAGCAAATTTTTATTTATTTGGTTCTTTTTAACACACTTCTTCACCTTCAAACCTGATTATTTTTTTCATCGTTCAAGCTCGTGAAATTTCTTTTTGATACTCCTGATCGACCTCTACGTATACTTGTTCCGGTACTATATTGAAATACATCGAATATATTCCAGCCGTATATATATGAGTAGTACTCTTTCACTAATCCCTCTCTCTTTTCTTGGATTATTTTAAACATATGATCACTACTTCATCTATATATATAAGATATATCTCCAGTCTGATGGAATACACAAATGGATCCTCATTTTCTTCTATCTTTTTCTTCAAACTTCCATGCACATAAATAATAAAAAAAAACTTACAAAATTTATTTATTCCTCACATATAACATACATCACTTCATCACGAAAAAGGAAATCCTATTTCGGTGAGACTTCATCTGATCAATCGTAGTTCAGATTCAAGTTGGTCCTTGCTTCCATTTTATTGTGTTTAGCATTATAGTAGTCAAGTTTCAATGAACTTCACAACCATTCCCCTCCAAAACCCTAGTTTTTTCAACAACTCTCAAAGTTCTCTAGCAGGAGCACTACAAGGATGCATTGGGAGCCTTGATGGAGCATGTTTGGAAAAACTATTGCTTCATTGTGCAAGTGCCTTAGAGAACAATGATGTTACTTTGGCTCAACAAGTCATGTGGGTGCTCAACAATTTGGCTTCTTCTAATGGAGATCCAAATCAAAGACTCACATCATGGTTCCTTAGGGCATTAATTTCAAGGGCTTCTAGGGTTTGTCCTAATGCCACAAATCTTCATGGAGGTAGTAATCTTGAAAGGAGATTAATGAGTGTGACTGAGCTAGCAGGGTATGTGGATCTCATCCCATGGCATAGATTTGGATTTTGTGCATCAAATAGTGTTATTTATAAGGCAATTGAAGGTCAAACAAAAGTTCACATATTAGATTTTAGTATCACTCATTGTATGCAATGGCCAACTCTCATTGATGCAATTGCTAAGAGGCCTGAGGGTCCTCCTTCACTCCGAATATCGGTGCCTTCATGGAGACCACAAGTTCCTCCATTGCTCAATGTGTCAAGTGAAGAAGTTGGCCAACGTTTGGCAAATTTCGCAAAATTTAGAGATGTTCCTTTTGAATTCCATGTGATTGAAGACTTGAACTATGACATGTTCTTGAGCCAATTGAATCCTTCAACTCTTCAAATTAGAGATGATGAAGCTTTGGTTGTGAATTGCCAAAATTGGTTAAGGTACTTGCATGATGATGAACAAATTAAGGGTGCAATTTCGTCTCGCGACATATTTCTTGATAGGGTTAAGGATTTGAACCCTTGTATTGTGACTATTGTTGATGAAGATTGTGATTTGGGAAACTCAACTACTTTAACATCAAGAATAGCCGCTTGTTTCAACTATCTATGGATACCCTTTGATGCATTAGAGACATTCTTGCCTAAGGATAGTAAACAAAGGCTAGATTATGAAGGTGATATTGGCCACAAAATTGAAAACATTATTGGATTTGAAGGGAACCAAAGGATAGAGAGATTAGAGAGTTGCAACAAGTTCTCACAAAGGATGGAAAATAGTGGTTACATGAGTGTACCTTTTAGTGAAGAAACAATTAAGGAAGTGAAGTCATTGTTGGATGAGCATGCAAGTGGATGGGGCATGAAAAAAGAGGAACATGACATGCTTGTATTAACATGGAAAGGTCATAACTCAGTCTATGCAACATCTTGGGTCATAGTCCCCACCACCCCATATGGACCTGAGTAGCTTATAATAATAATAAAAAAAGTAGCTAAGTTTTATATTTTTACTTGCAAGTGGTCTTTTAAATATATAATAATGGTAGGTTTATATTAAAGTAGCTAGCTAGAAAGGGCCAAAATAGAGATGAAATTTCATTCTCAAAGTGGTCCATTAGATGAGAAGTGACAATATAAGATTTGCTTTTTTATTTTATAGTTTTTTTGTCATGGTGCTATTATGTAAACAAGACAAGGGCTAAAAATGCTAGGAATCTAAGAAAAACTTTAATTTCATCCCATGCCACAAATGTATTATTTGTCAATTTGTCCCCTACTAATGTCACATGAAAGTTGAGGAACAGGAGGAAATATGTACTAATATCAAGTTTTTTTTTAGTTGTAGAAATAATCAACCATTTGATTTACTACAGTATTCAGTTTTAAATTAGTTGTAGAAAGAATTCACTCTATACGAAAACACAATATCAAAGTTCAACTATTGTAACAACGCCATCAGTCGGCTTTCAACGGATCCGGCTATCCTTTCACTGGTCGATCAGCTATGGAAAACTCTGCTGAGTAGAATCCTGAATATCTTAACATTTTTTTTTTTTAATAATATATATGGTGCTTCAATCGGAAAAATACCTTTGTTATAATAGTAGAACCCCAATAGCATGTCTTATTATCCTAAAGAGGCATGAGCTCTACTTTAGTCATGGAAATATATTTATTTTAAACTATATATATGAGACCAAAAGATTAATCATATTTTTAATTTTCTTGTTGCACTTGCATCTTTTGAAAATATTCTATCACCTATTGTCTTTTGTATAAGGACCAAAACCAGCTATTGTTTTTTAATTTAGAAATGGTATGGGATGGTCATTTATACCCTTCTATTAAAGCTTAATTATTTTTAAATAATACTCCTAATATAGTCCACACAGACTGTTGGAGGCAAGAAGATGCACATTAAGAAAAAGTTGAAATTGATTATATTGAGGATCGTTGATGCTTGTGTTTTGCCACAAATGGTCTAATCTTCTGCATTCTGAAAAAATTATGGTTGCGTACCGTCAACTAAACTCACAACATTTTTGCGATGTTGATTGAGCAGCATGTACTAATTTCAGAAGATCAGTAACAAGCTATGTAATGAAGCTTGTGGACTATTTAATATATTGAAAATCAAAGAAATAATAAATGTGTAAGAGCTCAACCAAGGCAATTGGAGAACACCAGTTTTGGCATATTTTTCCAAATAAGATGATGTATATCATATAATTTTATTGTATGTCACACACATTTTATGAATATATATAATATACACTAATGATATACACAAATATGAGGAAAGGAAGGTAATGAGGAGATTCCTTTCCAGCGTATTTTATGACAATACAATAACATATACCACCTGTACATTATATGTATATCACTATAAATCTACATGTAATTTTACTGATATACACATATATACATGTTTGAGATACATTGATATGCAAAAGTACTAAACTTCACAAATGTAAGCCCAAAAAATTCATTTAGAATGTCATGTCACCACTTAGGCAAAACTTAATGATTAATGTCATATTATGACAACTATTTATAATTGTCGATATAAATTATGGTAAATTTTAGGGGAAAAGGACTTAAATATATTTGAACCTTGACCGAAACTGCTGTAACAATTCCAAACTTTGGGCAGGACCCTTCCCCCCTGCACTATTTAATAGTGTATTTTAAAGGTATATATGTGCCCACGTGGACATTATAAATATTGCATCATTATAAATAGTAACTTGTCCACGTGGGCACATATATACCTTTAAAATACACTATTAAATAGTGCAGGAGGGTAATAGGTCCTCCCCAAAGTTTGGAATTGTTACCACAATTTCAATCAAAGTCCGGATATATTTCGAACCCTTTTCCCTAAATTTTATAAGTATAAATGTGAGTATACTCGTGAATGGTGAAATATCCATACTCTCCTCTTTATATACTTTGATGATTATATTTTCTAGTTAATATTACTCTAAATCTTATAATATCGTTTATTTTCTTACTCTTTTTAGTGATTATATTCTATCTACAGGAATTCTTAACAATACCCACAAAAGAAAGTATATTAAACTTTAATTTTATAAATTTAGGTCAATATCTATTAATTATATATTGAGTATATACCGACGATGATTACAATCTATTATACAGCTAGTCTAGTGATTTTATTTTTGAAATTTTTGCGTGGATTTCCCTTTTTGGGGTGGTTGATTATTTTTTGCCAATGAATTTCAATTTTTGTTCATGTTGCTCATAATTAAAAAAATTGTGCGCAAACTATTCATATTTATGACCTAATTTCATTTGGCATGAGTTTAGAGAAGCAAGAATTAAGTTACCAGGCATAAATTTTGTAGTATCTAATTCACTCAACATAATTTTAGTAAGATTTTATCTTGCTCGAAATTGCGACATAACTTGTGGATTTTGACTTAAACTTTTGTCTCTAATGACCTAATTTTTGTAGAAATTAAGTAGCATAATTTGTGTTATATTACCGTACAAAAATATAAACTTCTACTGAATGGAAGTATTTGTTATTTCGTTGTCAAGATATTTTAGACCACTTATTTTTTTAATTTGTGAGGTTGAAGAGCAGGATTCAAAAACCACAAAATTTGAGGATAAAAATTAAAAATCATCTCAAACGTCGCTGGCTTGCTGCTACGTCAGGAAGAGAAACGTATGGTGGGCTGAAAAATTGGGCTATCATGTGTACCATTGGAGATGTTAAGAACTTTAGTTGAGTTCAAATTTCAATTATATTTTAGTATTATTATAATAAAATACCACTCTAAACTATAACATAACAAAATAGATTGACTCCAAAAAAATGTATAATTATTATAATAAAATATTGTTATATAAAGAATGATTGGTATATAAAAAATGTGAATGTATTTAAGATTTCACTGTAATATTAAATCCAGAAAATGAAATTGAATAGTGCCACATGATTTTCATTTGATTGCAATAATGACATCAACTACACTTTAAATGCCAAATTCAAAGTTCGGTCGATTGACTATAAAATAAATAAAAGCAATTCTTAAGAACACGTATGTTAAGCTGAGTGATATATCACCAATTTTTTTTTTAGGGAATTTACGTAAATTTTATTAGTTTAGGAGCTAATTAATTAGATATATTTTAGTTTGCAATATTACGTATTTTATTAGATTTTGGTGTTTTTAGATACGTTCAGACATATGTATCTTAGATACATTGAGTCAAATTTAGGTGTAATTTGTTCTAGATACATTGTATCTAAGGAATTCGCATGTATCCTAGAGACATGCACATCATTCAAGATACATACAGTGTATCTAGTGTGATTCACATGTACATGAGATATATACGAATTTCACTCGTCTCTCTCTATTTTTGTGTATCTGGTAGCAAAAATACATGTAACTAAGTGTAAAATATGTAAGAACCTCTGGTAAGATATGTAATATTTTAAAAGTATATGTAATGATAATATATATGGTAGTGAAGTATGTCTAATTATATAGCTTTTATTTATTTATTTATTTGTGGACTTAGTTTGCAACACAACCTTCCAAACGAACAAGAACAAATAGTCATTTTAGAACAATCATTTGATTTGATTTATTTTTTAATTGTTTAGGTCTCCTCATCCAAAAAAATGATTCTTTTGTAGCATATTTTGGAGGGCGGAATTGATAGCTTGTAGATAAGAAAGAAAAGTTTTTCTTTATCTGCTTTAAATTATAAACTAATGTTGTATTAACCTCTTACTATGCTTTATAAAAATCACATCAACAAATAACTATAATTAGCTGATTATTATAATGATTATAAAATTATAATCAATTCAACATGGAAGAACTTTAACGGAGCTTCCATTTAATTTATTCGAACTAAAGTAAAACACTACCGTTGCATGTTTGCCCCGCTATGATATGCTGATATTTTATGATTCCACATTTTTTAAAGGCAAATATATCGATAACCATTTAAATTGTCAAATATGTTGTGTTTAGACATTTAAATCATTTATTTTTTTATTGAGTATATGAACACATGATAAATAGATAAAATGTTCCTATTGTACACTTCCTGTTAATCTTTTGGAAAAAGTTTCTACACATGAAAGGAGAATCAAACAACAATCTCGATAGATTTTTATGTTTGGACCTCCTTAAAAGAAGGATGACTAATTATTTGTTTGTATTATCAACATGGGTTGTGGTGGAGTGAGTGATTGCTTCGGATTTGAGTCCTAGATATGGAGAAAACTTTATTGGAAGCGTCACCCCTGGATGGGCCAACAAAGTGCAATTCAGATTTTGTTGAAACTCCACTATTAGCTTCGAACATCGGATGGAGACAAAAAAAAATTAGTTCTTCATGTTTTTCCCTAAATTTTGATAACTTCGTATTTATCTTTGATTTCGTAATCATTAATTATTTAGTTCAAAATAGATTGGCATAGATTATGTTTTTAACTTTTTCCAATACATTGTGGGTTCTACTTATATTATTTCTCTAAAAACAGGGGAAAAAAATCTCTTTTTTGGTATCTTTTTAATATTTTATATATAAGGTTTGTCGTCACTTAATTTGGATTTTGGCATACATATAATTATATGGGTTGGCCTATCCCATTCAGGCTAATTCATACAGACTTTACAATTTGACGGGCTAGGTTGGCTTAGCCCATTTTTTATCTGGGCCAGAAAATGATCGGCCCAGCCCACAAGTGCGTGGACTACGGGCTTTGCCGGATCAGCCTTCTTTTCTTAAAAGTATATTTTTTATAATTAAATTATAATTTAAGAAATATTATCATAAATATCGACTAGTGTTACTACTTGTTAATCAAATACACAAATAAAATTATCTATATAATATTTATTAAGTTTGATTCAAGTAAAAACATAAATAGCTAAATAGAAATATTAACCTAATTGTTTTCCAATGATCATAATA